AAGTGAAGAAACAGGTGAAGAAACGCGCAGGTCCTTCTACATATATTCGATTTCAGTCAATAAAACGAATCTTATTGTTGCAGGTAATCGATTTGGATAACAGTTTGGAAGTTACGCGGCAAGAACTTGGAAAACTACGCGCGCGAGCGGATGAAGAAGATGAACGGTGGCGTGCCCGAGAACAAGAGTTGCTGGTGCGGCTCGAGGATAGCCGCTGTCGCGAAAGAAAATTGGAAGATCAGAAACATAATCTGGAAGTTTGCTTGGCCGATGCCACGCAGCAACTTCAAGAGCTAAAGGTATATAATTTTCGAGGAAGGCAAAACAAAAAGTTCGCGTGTCGGTTCGCACCGAGAATTAAGGATGTATTTCTGATTTCAGGCACGCATCGGGGGATCCGAAGGATAAGAGCACTCGATGCCCAATTGTCGCAATTGGAAACTGCTAAGAAGGAAGTAGAGCAGAAACTGAGCAGTGTGGGTTCCACCGCTACGCCGTATCGCTGGTATTCAAATGGATGGAAGCGTAAACATGCCGTTTAAATTAATGAGCCCTTCGAGAAGATGGAGTCCAGCACGTGGTAATAAAAATTTTTATTTTGATCTACAACAATGATACTATTTATTATCTCACGGTGCATAAAATGCAGTTAATATGTATTTTAATTACAGCGCAAGACCATGCTGATAGTAGCAGAGATATCATACTGGACGTTGATCCTGAAACCGTTAGGAAAGGAGTACGATCGCTTATGCAACAAGTTGCTCAAATCGAACGCGAGAGGGTACGTTGAACTTTGACGATTATTCATAAGTGAATTATATAAGCCGATCTGTTATAATAAAATCTATGATAACGTTGTAGGATGATTACAAAACAGAACTGTGTAGCTTGAAGAAGCAACTGAAGGAGTCTCAAGAAAACCAAAGCAATACGGATGTAAAAATCAATAATCTTCTGACTAATATTCGGACGCTTCAGGAAGAGAAAAAATCTATCGAAGCAAAATTAACTCAAACGCAAACTGGCTATCACGCACAGGTATATCTTTTTTCTATGTCTTGCATTCCACTAAGGAAGGAAGCGTTAATATTTTTATTTGTTTTCAGCTGGACGCACTTCAACAAAAGACAGAGGAATGTGAGCATTTATGTGAAAAGGTTACAACCTTAGAGATAAAGATGAGTACCGAGCCAGACGAAAAATCTCAGTACGAGGTACAATCTAGAAGAAATATTCTCAAAATCACTATATACAATCTCTCAGTGCATATAACTTTGCGTTTGTTTAGGATAAACTAGAGAAAATGAAGCAAGAATTAAACAGATTGGAAACGGAGAAGCGTAATCTACAGAAAGAAGTCTGTCACAGCGACTCTCGCGCAACAGAAATGGAATTGCACAGAATGTCTCTAGACGGCGATCTCCAAAGATTGCAAATGATGCTGCAAGAAAAAGAAGCGCATATTCAAGTAAGGTGGAAACGCGATTACTAAAACAACAATCTATATTTTGAGAAAAGTGTTAATATTC